ATAAGTATTCTGTAAACAGGATGCTATTCAGTAGTCTCCCCCATTCATAATTCCACTGGGTTTGAGAGCCGTGGAAGTAGCATTGGCAACTCACTTTAGAAGGAAATTTGTTATGTGATTTTTCAAATAACCTCTCAGATCTTTACTTATATGTTAATAGGCAATACCTAATTATCTTCTGGATGTCAAATTACCCCAGTCCCAGTTTGAGGGTGGGCTGGAATGAGTTACTTTATAACTTCTTTTTCATTAAATGCTTATTTTACTGGAATTCTGAACACTGAATTTCTTTTTAATAAGTATCTCCTGTTATGTAACTGGCTCCCTGAAATCAAGAAAAACAAATCATCAGTAGCATTTAAAGTTATTTCAAAATAAGCAAACACACCAGACTTATAAATAGTGCTTACCATTCCTTCCAGCATGCCTACTGTATATTCAACAATCGAAATTGCAGCAAAATTGATGAGTTACCAATACACTAATATTCTTTTTTTGTTTAATTTAAATGACCATAATGAAATGAGCTGTAAGTTTACAGCTCTGTAACTCTGAAATATGAACATATGTATTAAAAATGTATCCATCACGATTTGGCATAATTTGTCTTTACTCATGAAAAAAACCTCGACATGAGGTAGGTACAGTAACAACTGGTTCTCTCTAGGCAGAATGGGTGATGGTGAGACGGTTCATTAGTGGCCACTTGCATTTCACTTGTCAGAAGCATGACTAAGGGACCCATGCTTTCATGAGGAGTTTAGCAAGAGCATACAATTAAGAGAATAACTAGATGAAAAAAACACACACACAAAAATCAGCAGACTACAGCCCTCAAAGTATTTTATCCTTTCCTGAAGTTTAGATTTTGCCACCCATCAAAAGGAGCCTTGGCCTACATATTAGCTGCTGGCATCAATGTGTCCTGTTAATAACTCAAATTTGTCATGCTGCTGGTTTGGAGGATAGCTGGGACTGGAATCGTGGAAGCCAAAACCCTTTCCCCCTAATTAGGAAAAAGTCTGTTGCCACAAGGATTACGTCTTGGCAAGCAGCCAACTGACACAAGCCCTTGTGTTTGTTGCAGTTGGCTGGGCCCTTGTTTAATTGAGGTTACTGTTTGTTACAAAACAGATGGTTTTAGGGTTGGTGTACCCCCTCCCCCGCCCCAAATTAAAAAGAAACTGTTTACACAGATGTTCTGATCTTGGAACCATTGCGAGAAAGTGGAAGTGACTGATACACTCCACACCTTGGCTTCCCCATTGTGCTTTTACTGCTTTTCCCCTGGCTATGTTCAGTTTTCTTTCTGATGCTTGTTTCTGTGTTTCGCACCGACTTACGAACTTTTTGTTTCAATGGAATCTTTTTTTCCTTTATTTTTTTATTCCATTCTATGGAATGTTTCTCTTTCTGGTTTCAAGACACAATATTTGCTCTGTTTTGCACTCAAAGAATACTGCACCACAGATTGGCAAAGCATGGTTTGGATAGAGAAATGGCAATTTTATTTATACTACCCAGCTTAAAATGAATTTCATTTTTAGTTGCGTGTCATTCAAGGTCTCCTTCATACTCTTGATCTCTGGACAAATTCATTTCTATATATCTTGAGCTAGGAGCTGTAGGGTTTGTTATTTGGAAATCAGATTTATAACATAATTGTAAAACATTTACAGTGAAAAATGAAACTTTTATTTTTAAAACTATATTGTTTCTTAATTTGATATAGTTGAAAATTGAATGTGGTTTTTGTAGTCAGATATATTAATGTCAATAGATATGATACTCTCCAGCAGTGGATCTATTCACCTGTTGTGGTACATAATTTACCCTGTAAAAACATGTAAGGGGAAATTGAGCTTAGTGTAATTTTAAAAATCTATTTTAGGAGTGTGACTGGGCAGATGCTGGTCATGTGGCAATAGAGTTTTTTCAGGTTTGTTACATACAGGTGTATGGTTTGTACTTTTACCATTAAAGCACATTCTAAAATACTTGTATCATTCTTTGCTGAGCTCTGTCTGAATGGTTTTGTATGACAAACCTAAAGTATCTTTTTACAGGAAGTACCAACCACCTGAGATTATAGCAAAATTATTAACAATATCTCGTGAAATTTTATTTTTAGGATATGTCTGCATTTGAATGTCTGCTGTTTTTTAATGCTTGTTAGATAATACAATTGTAAATTCTAATCTAGTGTGCACAGTTTTTTCTAGAGTAGCATATGGTAAAACATGAGTATGAACAAATGGACAAACATCTGTGTAATGTCTACCCTAAAATACATACACATGCTCGTTCTGAATCCCAGTATTTCCCATAATATCAAACATCATTTAAAACATAAACAAGGCTGTGCCATCCTTGAATATCCTGGGTTACTCTTTGTACATCTCCTATATTGTCAAGTACTACCTTTTCTCCAGAAGACTCCTCAATGGAAGAATTTTTACAGGTTAAACCTTTATGTGTTCCTCCAACTGCTCAATGGCACACTTGCTATGGCAGGTGTTCTGGCTTCATTCTTAACACATCCAAGATATTTCCATCACCTTTTCTAGATAATTTTAGAGAAAGGAGGTTTCTGTATTCTCTGACATAATACTGCATTTGTCATCAATTAATTCTATTTAATATTTAGCCTTTACTAAACTGTTACATTTGTGGTAGAGTGCAAAGGCATATGCATTCTACAATAGTGACAGTTACAGGTTTCCCTCACTTTATGCAGGTTCTGTATGTGTGAATTCACTCTTATGCGATGACCCTTTTTATACCAAAATTTCATTATATGACAGGTAAATGCACTCTTATGTGAGCGGTGTAGTGGAAGCCCACAGTCAGCTGCTTTGTGCGGTGCATTGTGGCAGTGACACACATCAAAATACTGTCTCCTGTGTGGATCTGTGCTCTTCACTCGTCTGTAACACGTCTCTCTGGAGTTCCCATTCCCATTATGATAGTGCCCTGTGCTTGTGTATATCAGAATTGTCTCGTAAAAGTAGTACAAATAAGTCTGGGGGTCAGTGCAGTCAAGGTTTTGGAACATATCCCTATTGATACATTGTAAAGTGGGTTCCCTTTACGTGAATTTGAGTTATGTGCTGTTTTCCAGGAAGAACATGTACAGCATAAAGCGAGGGAAACGTATATTCAAATACCATGTGTCGGAACTGTTCAGTTATTTGACTACAGGACACATTATCAGTCTGTGGTACAAGTGAGAACTATGGCAACTAAAAGGACTGTTTTAGCGATTGGGGAAAAAAATAAACCTAAAAAAGGGCAAACTTGTTACTAAACTTGTTTTAGAGTATGGCACTGGATTATGTTAATTTTATTCATGTTTCATTAACAATTTGATTTCACAAACAGGTTTTGGTCCCAAGTAGTTTGGATAATTAACGCCCTACTATATTTATACCTGTGCAGGATTTCCATATGTTAAGGTGAAAATAACATGAATTGAAGATTAAATGGTATATTTTCAGTGACCAAATTGTTAGTGTGTTAATTAATACATGTTAATACATGACTAAAAAGTCAAATGGAGATAAACTTTATATTGTACATGTTACTTCCATATTTACTCAAATAGAAGATGACCCTGATTATAAGATGACTCCCCAATAATTAGATTCTTTATATGGAAAATTTATACATTTGTTATCACTTTCCAGGTATAGAATCTAATTATTGGAGGTTTGCCTTTTTTTGTCCCCCTCCCATGACTACAGTAGGTAAAATAAATCTGAGGGGTAAGGTAACCCCCTTTCCCCCTGCCTTCCTCCCCAACTTCTTCCCCCGACATCCCTTTCCTCGCTTCTTTACTGTGAGGCCCTTCACATGGAAGTGAGGAGCAAATTTGAAAATGCTGACTGTGAAATTAAACACAGCTATAGTAACATGTATATAGTACCCACATATTTAGTACATCCAGAATTGATGCGTGTTACCTTTCTTTGAAACTGATACAAGTTTTAGCACAGGTGCTCCATAATCACATTTTTAAATAGCACTTCGGCATCTATTTATATAGAGTAGAAACTATGCATGATATTTGTCCAAAGTCAAAAGTCTCATGATTTACTATATAGTTCATTGGGCTGGGCCCCCCCAGAGTCAACAGTATTTCAAGCCATGATGGGTGACTCCACAGCTCAGCATGTGTGTGTACTCCAGACACCACCACTCCCCCACAAAGGGTCCAGGTGCTAATTAGCTCCCCACTCATGACTGGAACCGGGTGTTCTTGCCATGAGTCCTGGGATCCTCCAGAAATTTATATGCAGATCAGGTCTGGTCTGGCCTGGCTTCACCTTGTGGAGGGTGAGGCCACACTAATCATATATGACAGGCTGAGAGAGGGCTTTTGGGGGAATTTTTGGGGCCCCATTTGGTGATGTTTGCCAGGCATTTAAGGCTGGTGAAGAAACAGGAATGATTGGAAATAGAAACAAAAGGCACAGCTCAGCTGTGGTAATGGAGAGGAAGTCAAAATGTACGTAGTGTAATGACCCACCATGTCTTGAAACAGTTGGCACTGAGGGGGACTGCACTCAGTGGGCATCTAGATATAGTTTATTCAGATGGGGTGCAGTAACCTAATCTCATGATAGGTTCCCATCAGCATGTTTTTCCCAGTATGGGCTATGTGTTTTATAGCCATGCTTAGTGTTGGCTGCTTTTAATCAGCTTCATAGTTGGTTTCTGTTATGGAGCACATGCTGCTTTTGGCAGCAATTTAATGACAAACAATGTATTGAATGTTTCCTTGTACGTGAACATAAGGCAAGGACCTTTACCCCACGCTGATTGGAGAAAAAAAACCCTGTCTTGTATTCAAATAATACTCTCTCTCTATCTCCCTGTCACACATATGCCAGCAGTATAAGGTATTAATAGCACCAATTCATTAGTTATGGTGTCTAGTAATTTTCTGTTCATCGTGTCGTACTCTTTTCTTTCTGTCTTCTCCAACTTCCCCGTCTTAGGTAGAGGAACTGATGATGGCCATGGAGAAGGTTAAGCAAGAGCTGGAGTCTATGAAAGCAAAACTTTCTTCTACTCAGCAGTCATTGGCTGAGAAGGAAACCCATTTGACCAACCTGCGAGCAGAAAGGAGGAAACATTTGGAGGAAGTCCTGGAGATGAAGTAAGTATTTCTTTCCATTTTAGATCTGTTATATTCTAGCACCCTTTCACTTCTCTTTCATTGCTGCTTTTTGGTGAACCAGAAACCATTATTCTGTTTACTTATTGATGGAAAGTTGCATCTCTATATGCTTTCTCAAAACTCTAAAAGAATCATGGACCATGAGCTATGCATATTTAAAAAAATGGAATAAATTGAGTATTCTGCATTACTACTTAAATACTATTTCTTTCCCTCACCCCTCAATCATCCACTTTGTTCACATTGATTGATAAGTATTTGCATTTTATTGGTATCCAAAAGTGCTAAATAAGGGCTTTATTGTGTGGTGTTCTTCCTAGACTATGTGGTCCTGCTTTATACATCATAACATTTTCTTTAAGGCAAGGCACAAATAAGTACAGCAAATAAGAGGAAGGAAGGGAGGGAAAGGTAAAAAATAATAGTAACATAGTAATAATGTCCTGAATGAAAGTGCAGATGTCTTCAGTGCCAGCTGATGATTTTTTCCCTAGATCATGACTGATTTATTAGCATTATTGGAATTAAGTTTGAACTTCTATATCAATCATGTTTTTCTCTCCTACCTATGTACAAGGACTCTTGAATACAACCAAGCATTGAGGAGGTAGGGTAAGGTGGAGAATTTGACTTCTGAGACTTAAATACTTCCTAATTTCTGACCATCCATTATAGATAAATAGCTATCCTTAGTTTAGGGAGACGTGGATCCATTTAGTTCAGTGATGGATAGGACTGCCAGCAGTTCATTAGAAACACTTTCAGTTGTTTAGCCAGCCCTGAAGAGAGAGAACATTTTTATTGGCAGGGCTAGCAGTGGCTCCTCCACTGTGGTTTTGTGAGCCATTATTTATTTATTCAACTTTTCTATGTTAACCTCTTTCCTTTTTGAAAGAAGAAATGATAGAAAAACAGCTGTTACAGAATGGAAAGAGAAGTGGCTCAGGTTTGAAACTCTAAGTTAAGAGTGCAGTGTAAACTGGTTCAAGCTCCCCAGGTTCATATCCAGCTATCTAACACAATCTGAGCTAGACCTGGCACAGAGACATTACAAGACTGCAGCCTTAGAAACCACACTTTTTATTTTTAATAAAAAATTTTATTGAGCTATAAAGTTGACTGCCTTGAGAGTTGATGTATTGGGGGATGGGAAGAATAGCTCTTAAGTTGAAGTGGGAATCCAAAGCAACTTGAGATATATCCCATATCCAATCTCCTGGCAGCATTCTACTGCCAAACTGCTGTTCCAAACCTTCACATTAAAATATATACATCTTATGCAATATATCCTGAAATGTATTTGTAATCAGGTAGCTCAAGCATCTTCAACATAACCACTCTTTTTAAAAATGATGACCAATCTTAACTAGTTAGTTATTGTTAGAAAGTTATTGTGCTGAAATTCAGTCTCAAGACCTAAATATACTGGTAGATCCATTGTGACCTAAGAAGGAAGAAGAGTAGTAGAGAAAGGTATTGCTGTCAGCACATAGATGGAAAGGTGGAAAAAGCATTAAATGTGTACATTTAACTAGTTTAATATGTTCTAGGCATATTTTGGCCTCCTTTACAGTTTTGTGAAGCTGATACAGGCATTCAAACTTTAATAAATTGGAAAGTATCCTCCCCATGAACCTCTGTTGTAAACTAGTCTTTGTAGCAGTTTCTCAGTCGGCTAAAGAATACTAGAGGTGCACCAATACATTGATCCAATATCAGATTGGTACCAATACTTATTGGATTGGTACCAATAAATGCTCGTGCTGCACACAGCCACAGTGTAGCACTCAGGCAGTGAGGAGCAGAGCTGGCAGCATGGAGAGATGCCTCCAGCTGGTAAGTCTGGTGTGGTGGAAGGGGAGGGAAGGGGTGTGGGAGGGCAAATCAACTCCCCCTGTGGTGAGGGGGGGGAAGGGGCAGGCACTGCCCAGGC